TCAATTAATACTAAATCATCTAATGCCTAATAAAATAAATTAATATTTAATAAATAATTTAAATAAAATAATAAAATGCTCTTTCAATTATATCATATGTTGAGTTCCATCTTGTTTTTACATCATCAATTAATTCTAATTTTTTTTAATTTGTAAAATATAACATTGTTGATTAAAATGTTCACATTTTTGTAAAGATTTATGAATATTAATAACTAATTTTTTTAACTAAAATAAAATTTAATAGAATTAATAAAAATTTTATTAATTATATATTTAAAAATAATTAAAATAAAATTATACTTTTCCAAGAGCTCCTAAATTATTAATTTCTTTATTATCATCACTTTTTTTAAATTCATTATTTTCATCAAAATTATTATTATATAATGATTTAAGAATTTCTTATATAGCCAAATTAATTATATGAGCAAGATAATATATATGTTGATTTGTAGAACTAAAATTCAAATTTTTATTAACAAATTTTTCTTCTAAATTAATAAACATAAAATTCATATTAGAGGCATTATTAGTAGTAATGCTTAATATCTAAAAATAAAAAAAAATTAGTTATTAATTAATTTTATTTATAAAAATAATAATAAATAAGTTATTTTTGTTAAAAGACTATTATTTTTTAATGTTTTAAAAAAAACTTCAGCTAAATTTTTGCCTGAATAAGAACCTTCAAAATAACAAAATTCAATAGTACATTGTTGAAGTTTCCAATTTTCTAAAATCCAATGTGCTGTTATTCCAATAAAAGATTTTTGGTTTTTAGAAGTCCAAGTATCAAGAGTATATAAAATTTTGCCTAGTATTTCTTGTAATTTTTTTTGTAAATTAAGTTGTTCATCATTATAAAGTTTAACAATTTTGTTAGAAATAGTAACTGCTGAAGAAATTTTTACTATATTATTAAGTCTTTTAATCATACTTTAAAAAAAATTGTTTTTTACAACAATAAAAGATTGATCATCAGAAATAATCCAATTAATTAAATCATTATACCAATTTTCTTGTATAAATATCTATTTAAATAATAATTTAATTTTTTTAATAAATTTATAATTATAAATTTTTAAATTTTAATATTAAAAATATTTACCAATTTTTTTTTAATAAATTTATTCATTGCTTCTATAATTTTTTCAGTTGTAATTGTATTTTTATATTTTTTTCAAGATATATTTTTAAAGTAGATATTAATTTATTTTCTGATATTTTATATTTTTGGCTAAATTATTATTATTAAATATTTTAATAAAAATTAATATATTTTAAAAATTTTAAATACAAAATTAATCATTTACTTGCAATAATTACATTTATATATTTTTATTTTTTTATCTAAAGTAAAATATTAATGAACAATAGATCTAAAATTTGGTTTATTATCTGTTTCTATATCATTTTCTTCATTTTCTTGACTAATATTAGTTTTATTTTCATTAATATTATCTTTATTAAAGTTAATTTTATCTTTTTTTTTATTAAAATTAATATTATCTGAAATATCATTATCAATAATTTTAGAAATATTATTTTTAATAATATAATTTTTATCTAAATAAATTTTTTTATCATCAGATTTCATTTTCAAATTCTAATAAATTATTATATTTATTATAAATATAAATTAATTTTTATATTTTTATAATTTAAATATAAAATATTAATAATTATAAAATTTTTTAATTTTGATTAAAAAATTTTAGTAAATATTTAATCAAATTTGATAAATTTTTTTAAACAATTTTAACTTGTGCCACTGGTTAATTATAACCATATAGTTAATTATAATCAGTAGTTATAATTAACTATATAGTTAATTTTTTTTTTTTTTTTTTTTGCTAAGGCCATACTAGATTAGCTATTACAACTATTTTTACAGAAATGAGAGTACAGCTATTCATGCATGCAACTTTTAGTTGCCTATTTAAGTAGTCTGCCCTAAGGTTCTACACTAGATGCCGTACCTATAACCTACTAGGAGATTATTCATTTAAACCCTCTGATCATCTGCCCTGTCATATTGGAATCACCAAACTAAGCCCTCGTATATACCTACCTGGTATACTGTCTGAGCAGTATGGTACCTACTCTTTTTGTACTGGTTCCCAGGCCATTACACATTTCAGAGTACGTCACCTGCCAGTAAGGCACAGGGGGCCTTCCGTTGTTAACTATCTACCTACTTTTAGAACACTAACACGAGCTACCCTTACAGAGTTCACCCAGACCCCAGTACTAACTTCACAGCATATCTCTAGTACTTTTAGTATACCCCTGCTTTGAACCCAGACTCCCAATCCAGATAGCCCAGAAGGACTGTGACCTGTCCTTGGTATATTGAGACTGGCCCAATATCCTTTTCCTCTGGTCCAAAATCTGGTGGCCTGGTTGGTGGTACCCCTCATCCGAGGTTCTTGCCTGCCCGAATCCTTCATATTGGTATCCATTTCCTAGGTCTAGCCTTTACAGTAGTACTGTCGAAG